TATCTATTTCTTAAAAAAAAAAAAAGCAAAAAAAAAAAAAAAAACACTCTTCGATCTTCTTATATCTCCTTTTTTTCTTAAAAGAATTAGTTTTCCATTCCCTCATTTCTTAATCAGACAGTTCTTTAGCAACAATAATCTCCTTCTTCAATCAAGAAAACGTTACTGTTGTTTGATTTTGCTCTCTGCTTTGTTCTGTTACTGTCTCTGTTTTATTTTCATTTGCTTTTCTTCTTTTCTATTTTTTCAAACTTCAAAAACAAAAAGTGAAAGAGAAAGGAAAAGGAATTGAAAATGGTGGAAGCTGTGGTGAGTGTTGTTCTCCAGGTTGGCGAGTGGTCTGCTCGTCCGATTGGGCGCCGATTTATGTATTTGTACAACCACAGGAACAACTTAGACAATCTTGAAGAAGAAGTCTGGAGGCTGAAGGATGCAAAGGAGGAGGTGAAGAATAAGGTTGTTGCGGCTGAAAACAATGTGGAAAAGATCAAACAGAGTGTTAGGCAGTGGCAGGATAAAGTGAATTCCATCATTCATGAAGCAGAGCAGTTGATTGCAGAGAAAGCAAACGACCGATGTTTCAAGGGATTTTGTCCTGATTTGATCACCCGCTACAAACATGGTAAGAAAGCATTCGAAATAAAGGAGCATAATATATCTCCACTCCTGCAGCAACGAAATGACTTCGGTGAGGTTTCCTATCCCACTACTCTGGAGGACTTGTGGCTTAAACCGGACAAAAATTATGATCTTTTCATATCAAGAGATTCCACTTTCAAAAATATACTCAAGGCGTTAAATGATGCTAATGTTAACGTTGGGGTGTACGGGATGGGTGGCATCGGAAAAACGACTCTAGTGAAGGAAATAGGGAGGCAAGCCAAGAAAGACAAGATCTTTGATGTGGTGATTTTTGTTGAGGTAAATAAAACTCCAGACATTGAAATGATTCAGAAAGAAATTGCGCGTAACGTAGGTGTGAAATTCGAAGAAGAGACTCAGAGAGCGAGTAAGCTGTGTAAACGATTGCAGAAGAAAGAGGAGAAGATCCTTATTATTTTAGATAATCTTTGGGATGAGTTTGATTTAAAGAGTGTCGGAATTCCTGATGAAGTTGATGATAGGGGATGTAAATTGTTGCTGACAGCAAGAGAACGACCACTATTGCGGAAGATGGGTTGTCCTGATCCTTTACAGATGTACTGTTTAAATGGTGAAGACAGTTGGAGACTGTTTAAGGCGACAGCAGGTGATATTTTCTTGGTTTTCATAGTTTCTGATAATTATATAATACAATTTCGAATACTTTTATTTATTAATCTTGGCCCTCTAGATCTCTAGGTCAAATTTGTTCTTTTTAATTTCTTAACACATAAATTCAACTACCTATGTTTTTTACGTGAACCAAAAAAAAAATTAAAGTAAATATAACATGAAAAAATAATTCAAATTTTAAAGTATTAATTTCAACAGAATAATTGTCAATCTACCTCTAACTAATAATTTTAAATTAAATAATTTTTTTCCTTGCAGGTGAATTTATTGAAACACCAGAGTTTAAAACTATCGCGGAAAAAATATGTAAGAAATGTGGAGGTTTGCCTATTGCTATAGTTACTGTAGCAAAGGCATTAGAAAACAATAGACTTTCATTTCAGTGGAAAGAAGCCCTGCGACAATTGAAAAGGTCTTCCCGGAAAAACTTAACAGGAGATATGAAAGAAGCATATGCAGCGATTGAGTTGAGTTACAAGTACTTAAAAGATGAGGATCTACAGAAAACCTTTTTGCTTTGTAGTCTAATGAGACATCAAGCTTTCAGTTTAGACTTGGTCAAATATGTTATAGGTTTGGATGTATTTCAAGGAATCTTTACGATGGAAGAAGCACGAAATAAAGTAAATACATTGATCTATGACCTAAAAGACTCATGTTTATTACTTAACGGTCACACCTACGAATCATTTTCAATGCATGATTTTGTTCGAGAAGTTGCTTTGTCGATTGCAGATAGAGACGATCAAGTATTTTCCGTGAGAAATGAGATAAAGTGGAAATGGCCTCATCAGGATAGACTAAAAATTTGCAAAAAGATATTTGTACGTGATAGTACTATTGATGATCGTAGTATGGTGTTTTTGGATTGTCCGCAGCTTGAATCTCTCTTCATGAACACCAAGGTTGGAGATTCTCATGTAAAACTTCCTGATAATTTTTTCAGAGGCATGAAAAAACTCAAAGTTCTAGATTTGACTAGAATGCAGTTTTCCTCTTTGCAGTTGTCGCTTAGTCTCCTGGTAAACCTTCAAACATTGTGTTTGGATTATAGTAAATTTGAAGATGTAGCAATCATTGGAAAGCTAACGGAATTAAAAATTCTTAGCTTACGTGGTTCAAGTGTTGAGCAATTGCCTAAGGAAATAGGTCAATTGACTCAATTAAAGTTGTTAGATTTAAGCTATTGTCAGCAGTTGGAAGTTATCGCACCAAACGTGTTATCAAACTTGGTTGGATTGGAGGAGTTGTATACGAATGGATGTTCTGTTTTATGGGAGGTTGAAGGACGCGATGTTCAAAGAAGTAATGCTAGTCTTGAGGAGTTGAAGCATTTGCGGGAACTTACCACTTTAGAAATGGATATCAAAGATGACGAGATTGTGCCAGAAGGCTTGTTCACCAAAAAGCTGGATAGGTACAAAATATCAATAGGAGCTGGGTCGTCTGGGTTTGGTGGTTCGTACATATTTTCTGATTGGAAGTACATGAGCATTAAGAGCTTCAGTTTTGATAAGCCTATCACTTCAATTAGGACGTTGAAATTAAAGCTAAATTCTACCATTTGGTCAGACAATCTGCAGGGTTTCAAGAATGTTGAGTTCTTATGCTTAGACCAATTGGAAGGGATCAATAATGTTGTTTTTGATTTAGACAAAGAGGGTTTCTCACAATTGAAACATCTTCGTGTCCACAATAATTCTAACGTTTTGTTTATTGTTGATTCGATAAAGTGCACACCTCATGATGCCTTCCCTGCCTTGGAGTCACTGATTCTTTTCAATCTGATTAACTTGGAGAAGATATGTTATGGTCAACCCACAATAAATTCTTTCTCCAACTTAAAAATTCTAGAAGTGGCGCATTGTGATAAATTGAAGAATATCTTCTCATCCTCCAATTCCAGAAGCCTTCCACATCTTCAAACGATCCACGTGGAAGATTGCGAGAATATGAAACAGATTTTTGTTGCAGAAAGAGAAGATAATGTCAACAACAATGAAGTAATTGAGAGAGTTGAATTTCGTCAATTATGCTATCTGACTTTGACGGATCTTCCAAGGATTGCAAGCTTCTACTCAGAAGTAAAGACACCTTCAACATTGCCATTGAGACAGAAGGAATCAACAACGAATTTACAGTCCAATGATAATAATTTGGAAGATGAGCTTGATACTTTCACACCACTTTTTAACGGAAAGGTTTGGTTTGCAATAACTTTGTAGTTATCTATTCTAATTTTTTTTCTTTTGACATTTATTTTCTTTTGTTAACACATAAAAAAAAAAAAAAAAAAAAACCTCAGATAATAAATAAAAAATAGTGTAAATAAGATTACAATAGAATTGCGTTATTCTTCTCATCTTTTTTCATAAATTCTTCTCATGATTTTAAATTTCAGTTAAAACTTTGTCACTAGAATTTATTTTCGATGCTTACTCTAAACCAAGCTGTGGACATACAATTTGTCATTTTGTCAAATGTTCATTCATTCTAGTTCTAGTCTTAATTAAGCTATTATTGCTTCTTTACTTCGTATTTTATTAAACTATATGAAAAAAAAAAAAAAAGTTATTTATGATTAGAATTTTAGCATGCTAAAGTTTCTGTACGAGACGTATCTCAATTGTTTGCACATGCTAAAGATTAGACAGGTAGAGAGTTCTTTATTAAGATTCTAACCCCAGGGGCCAGGGGCATATTGTCAAATGTTGAGAAACAATTATTGCTTTTTTACTTCATATGAGAAAAAATTGAAATGAAAATTAACATTGAATGCAGGTTGTTTTCCCCAATTTGAAGACTTTAGAACTGGCAGCAATTAATTCTAAAATGATCTGGGACAACCAACTTCCAACAATGTCTTCTTGCTATCAAAGTTTGACACACTTGATCATTAGTAATATGGAGAAACTAAATTATGTATTTCCATCTTCTATGGTCAAAAGTTTTAAGCAGCTCCAGCATCTTGAGATAAGAAATTGTGAGGAACTAAGGGAGATTGTTGGCAAAGAAGAAGGAGCAGAAGGAGCAGAAGCAGCTGCTACATTTGTATTTCCAGAGGTAGAATTCCTTGAACTCAAAGACTTACCAGAACTTACAACTTGCTACTCTGGAATACACACTTCAAATTGGCCCAAGTTAAAGAAGTTGAAGGTTTCTGATTGTAGGAATTTACACATATTCACTTCAGAATACAAGGTATGCTTCTTTTTTTCTTTCTTTAATAATAATAATAATAATAAAAATTAACAAGTACTGCAGGAGACTGTCACTAGCCTCTTCAACATACACACGTGTTTTACATTTTGGTAGGGATTTGTTTACCAACGATTTTAATTCTAATTGTGCTACACTTATTTATACCATTAACTTACTTCCTATCTGATGCAAAATAATGAATTTCATAATATAAAGTTTTTGTTTTACAACAATGCCTTTCTTTACAAAATCATCACTTTTTCAAGTTAATTTTCTTTTTCCATATTCTAGTTTCATAACTTCAACAAATAGACAATAAAAGCTAATATCTATAATTAAATTAACAGGAAATATATAATATTGCACAATCCATGAAAATTAAAATATGTTTGATAAATCTTTTGAAAAAAAAAATGAAAGAATAAATATTAAATATTCATTTTTTGTATTTTTTAAGAATGCTGAATTTCTTAGTATTGAGGACATTGAAACATATTGAAACAATTAACTTTGGATGTAGGTTGTTTTCCCCAATTTGGTAGATGTCAGGCTGGAAGCAATTAATTCTCAAATGATATGGGACAGTCAACTTCCAGTAATTTCTGATGGCTATAAAAATTTGACTAGTTTGGTCATCAAGTACATTAAAAAACTAAAATATGTATTCCCATATTCTTTGGTGAAAAACTTTGAAAAACTCCAACACTTCCAGATAAGTTCTTGTAAGGAGTTGAAGGAGATTGTCGCCGAAGAAGGAGCAGAAGCACCTCCTACATTTATCTTTCCATCGGTAGAATTCTTAAAACTAGAAAACTTACCCGAACTTAAAACTTTCTACCCTGGAATACACACTTCAGAATGGCCAAGTTTAAAGAAGTTGGAAGTGTCTAGATGTGACAAACTACAAATATGCACTTCAGAATGCAAGGTATGAGCCTCTTTTCTTTCTTCAATAATAACTATAAAAATAAGTAAATTTATAATAAATGGTATCAATATAATTCAGTTCTGTTTTAATAATTATTTTGTCATGCAAGTCAAAGACTAAGGGCAGACTTTTAAATAAAGGAAAAACAATTATTTTTTACAATAATACTTTGTGTAGAAACATTTTATACAAACTCTCATTCATATAAATTTATAAGATGAATGACTTTAATTTAAAGATAAATTAAAAATAGTTTATAAAAAGATAATTTGTATTTGTATGTACAACATTACTCTTGCTTTCATTGTTTGTTTAAGTGTATTGATAAATGGATGCAATTTTTGAAAGAGAAAAAATTGACGTGTGAGACTTGCCACATGACACAACTATGAGAAACAATTATTAATTATTTACTTCTAAATCAATGAACTGTGAGTGCAGGTTGTTTTACCCGATTTGGAGGCCTTAGAACTGCAGGGAACCAATACCGAAAAGATCTGGCACTCTCAACTTCTAAAAACATCTTCTGGCCCCCGAAAATTGACCCGTTTGATCTTGAAGAACTATGAAAAACTAAAATACGTATTTCCATCTTCTATGATCAAAAGTTTCGAGCAGCTCCAACACCTCGAGATAAGCACTTGTAAAGAACTAAAGGAGGTTGTTACCAAAGAAGACGGTGAAGAAAGAATTGCTAAATTTGACTTTCCGCATGTGGCTTTCTTAAAACTTAATGACTTGCCAGAATTTACAACTTTTTGCCTTGGGATATCTACTTTAGAGTGGCCCTGGCCCAAGTTAAAGGAGCTGGAAGTGTCTAATTGTGACAAATTGCTGCATTCAGAAAATAAGGTATGAGCCCTTATATACAAATTACAAAAGATGCCTCTTCAACTGTATTAACTTTTTGGTTTGAATTTGTTGACCAATTTGAAGTCTACTTAAGCAATTTAAAACCTCTTGTTGACCAATTTGGTAAATTTTCGTTTCACACCAAAAGGTTTTTGTCTTACAAGAACGCTTTTATACAAAAAAAAATTATTAAATTTTCTGGTTAATTTTTTTTCTTTTTGTTTATTGATGTCTGAATGTTATGGAACTGAGTTTCTTTATCTCAACCTAGAGAAGACAAAAGCAGGCATCAACAAATCTAATTTAACTGAAATATGTATAATAAATTTTGTTAATTAAAAATTCTTTTTGAAAATAAATTAAGAATAAAATAAATAAATAATTTGTTTTCAAGATTCACAAATGTTTTTAGCATCATTATATTAAAAAATTCGAAAAATCCTATTAATAAAAATACTTATATATATATATAATTGGAGTAATAATTAAAATCCCTTATAGTATTCCTCACAATTTAATATCTTAAATTGAACTTATTCAAATAATTAATAATAAAAATATCATCTATTTCACTTATCAAATTAGAAAGTAACTTACGGTAAAGGTAGTAATTGTTCACACTTTTTTGTTTTTATTCAGTAGAATAAATCATTTTTCTAATAATTGATGAAAAAGTATAAAGTTTATAAACAATAATTTTATTAAAAAAAATAATAATAAGTGTATACAATATTGTTTATGTTTGTTAAATAGATGAACTCTTTTAATCAAATCCAATATTGATAGAAAATAAAACGTTTTTGTTGTACAATTTATCAAAAAAATTGAAAATAAAACCAGTAATGGCAGACTTGTAAATAAAGGATTTTATTTTTTTGGGTGTTGATTTGATTTTGTTTGATTGATTTGTAGATTAGCGCCAATTTGGAGGAATTGGAATTGGTATTAAGAGTGGACAACATGATGACATGGCAGTGTTTACTTCCAGAAAACTTCTCTTGCAAATATACTGTTGAGATCAGTGGTGATAAATCAACAAATATTCCACTTGACATCCTTCAAAGATCTTTTGATTTGGAAAAACTCATACTAAGTACGAGTTCATACAAAGAAATATTCTCATATGGATTGCACGATAGACATACAGGGACATTGCTGCAGATAAAAAGTTTAGAGTTGAATTTTCTTTCTAATCTAAATAACATATGGAGTAAAGACTCCAAAGTGGACTATGTTATTCAAAATCTTGAGGTTCTAGAAGTACACAACTGTGACAAATTGAGATGTGTGCTGCCACCCCTAGCATCTTTTGCAAATCTAACAGTTTTGAGCATAAGTTGTTGCTGGGGATTGATAAAATTATTCACACCCTCAACAGCCAAAAGCATGGTGCAATTGAGGGAAGTAAAAATTCGGTCATGCAATATGCTAAAAGAAGTGGTATCAAATGAGGAAGACGTTGGAGTAGAAGATGGAATTGTTTTTGACAAATTGAAGTTGTTGTCACTTTTCAAATTAGAAAGTCTCACATGTTTCTGTTATGGGAATTTCACTTTCAAATTCCCAGCTTTGGAAGAATTAATTGTGGAAGGCTGCCCCAACATGAAGACGTTCGCTGAAGGAGACACAAGTGCACCATGTTTACAAAAAGTAAAGAGGTACACACGGGGGATGGAAGGATATTGGAAAAGTGACCTTAATACAACTATACAACAATTATACAAAAAAGGTACGTATCTTGTTAAGAATTATTTATCTCTAAATTTCTTATTTCCATCCACACTCAATGAAATCTTGATAATATGATTCCAAAAGATATTTAGTTAGAAACAAATATTAAGTTCCAAAATATATATAAAACATAAATGCATAAATTTAAGAATATAGACAGTTCAACTTTTAAAAGGAAAACTAATTCAATTTTAAAAAATATAAATATTTTTTTGAAAATAGTACATATCAAAATGTAGTACCATTAGAGGGCTATAGCAATTTCGTGGGGTTGCTCCCGGTAGTTGGCCCAGATTCATGCTTATTGAACTTTAAAAATTTGATTCATCTTCAAATTGGAAACTTACCTTTACTTCTTTTGATTCATTCTGGTGTACAATTACAATTTTAATAATATATTTTAAATGATTATGATCATTTATGTAAGAATTAAATATTAAAAAACATTTTTAGTAATTTTCTTTAAGGCTAAACTTGTCAAAAAAAAAAAAGTTATTCAAAAGTGAGGATCCTAATAAACCGGGTGGGGCTAAAGTTATTTCCCTATATTTTTAGCGCCCAAATTAATTAGTCCAAAGTTTTACCATTTTGTGTTTTAAGGACCTTTTTACCCTTGAAAAAGGTTTAAAATAATTGTTAATTAGATTATAAATATTGACTGAATCCTATTTACATTAACATAATAAAATATATAAAATAATCAAATTAATTTAATTGAATCCTAATTACACTGAAACAAATGAAAAGTGAGAGTAAAGGCTCGCGCACCCACCCCACTCTTGCTAACTACACCCTCATGCACTTCTTTTTATATTAATCTCATTAATTTGCTTCAATTATATATTTAAAACCATATCACTCCTCCAAATTTCCAAGAGTTAAGTTTTGAGCTTTACACATCTCAATGCTGTCGCCTTCTCTTGTAACGATTGATATTTCATCAATGCTTTACACTAGATCTTTAATATTTCATTCAAGAGAAACAAAACCGAGTTGAAGGAAAATATAATGAAGGTAAAGGGCTAACTGTTAATTTAATCAGTTTCATCTCTTTTAATTTAGATTTATGATTTCTTTGTTATTGTTGAAAATATACAAATTTCTAATTTTGCGTAAAATTGTTTTAAGGGAACATCTATTTTGACATGATTTATATGATTGAACTTTAGGTAAACTCCAATTTTGAGAGATTGACATTAAGTGGAAAAGACATCATGTCTATGTGGCCAAATCAGTTTCCAGAACATCGGTTTTCCGAAGTGAAAGTTGTTAATGTTATTCAAAATGAACCAACAAATATTCCCATTGAAATCCTTCAGAGATTTAACAATCTTGAAACGCTCGTATTAAAAGGAAATTCATGCCAAGAGTTGTTCTCATGTGGAGAGGTTGAGAAACATGCAGGGATGCTCACACATATTAAACAGTTAGAGCTTGAGGGACTTTTCAATTTGAAGCACATGTGGAAACAAGATTCTCATCAGGTCTCAATTCTTCGAAATCTTGAAGAGCTATCAGTGTATCATTGTCACAATTTGATTAATCTAGTGCCATCTTCAGCATCTTTTGACAATCTAATAACTCTGGATGTACGGAAATGTGATGGATTGGTAAACTTAGTAACATCCTCAACGGCCAAAAGTATGGTGAACCTTGAAAAGATGTACATAGGAGATTGTGAGACGATGATTGAAATAATAGCAAATACAGGAGATGTTGAAAAAGATGAAATTGTATTTAGTAAATTAAAGTCCCTATCAATTCGGAATTTAGAAAGTCTTAAAAGCTTTTGCTCTGGAAATCACACCTTTAAATTCCCGGCTTTGGCAGACATGATGGTGGAAGAATGCCCCAAGATAAACACTTTCTCTAGAGGACTCTTAAGCACACCAAAATTGGACAAAGTGAGGCAGACTTGGTTTGGCAAAGAAGGGCTTTGGGAGGGTGAGCTTAATACCACTATACAACATCTATTCAAGAAAGCGGTATGTATTCTGTTAACAATTAAGTTTTTTTAATTTTTTTTAATTTTCTTGTTCTCTTTAACATTGGAATACCTGATAAAATAATCTTAAAAATATATTTTATTCATTACTGCTAGAACACTAGTTTCTTTTTTATTTAATAATGTGTATCATTGCCGGGGTTAATAACTCTTCATTATACAAAAGCTACGATATAACTATCATCAATTTGTAGTTCAAAATAATATTCTCTATAGATTAGAGTTCTGAAAAAGATTCTATGAATGTGTTGGTCTATAGTAGGAAGCGTAGGAATGGGTAGTAGAGGATTATTAGTAGTTGGGCAAAACGGTCCTATGCGTGCGAATGTTAGGAAGAATTAATTACGTGGGACAGGTGGCAGTAAGAGGCATGTGAATGTTAAGGAAGAATTATATGGGACAGGTGGCAGTAAGAGTGTGGCTAGCTGGGGAATTCTGTTATGGAGAGAATCTGAATGGGATAAAAAGGAGACAGGGAGAATTGGGTAGGATATTCAGAAAAGAGAAAAGTGGAGAGGTGATTGCTAAGTTTAATTCTTCTATGTATTTGGTTTGGTAGAATATAAATCGACTTGACTTTTATTTTGTGGGTATGGCTACTGTTTGTTGATATTTTTCTGGTTGAGTCTGAGTGTTGTTGCTGTTATTGCTGTGGTTTGATTGAGTATTGGAAGGTATCTATCAAGAGGTCAAACTTCGATGCAATCTCTGCAATAAAGCTATATTTTCTAACTGGTTTGTGAGGTATTCTGTAGCTCGTGTTCCTTATGCTGAAGTCAGAGAGTGGAAGAATATTTATCTTCTATCTTCATTGTTCGTGCGTTATTTTCTTCACATATTTGAGGTTGATTTGCACAGTGAAGGTTGTATTATATTCCATTGCTTTGCATTGTATTCAATACTTAGAAGTATGAATTATGTGCCTATGGATATGTGAATTTGTGCGAGTCTTAGAATATGTCAAAGTAATGAACTTTTGGTATTATAAATCTATTTCATGAAATTTTGTTCCTCAAAAGCTGGTATAGATCATTCAAAATTCTGCTTTGGTGCTTTGTATCCATGACGTGAGTATGAATTATGTGTCTAATCATTCCACTTAATCTTCATTTTTGCACTGATCACACAAACCAATTCTATTGCTTATATCTCATAGCCCTCCTATGCTAGACTCGTTGTATTGTTGTAATCACGATTGTGTTGTCTTTGTTACAAGTCTCAAGAAATTTGAAAACACACATGAGCTCTTACCCACAAACATATGTAAACAATCAAATTATGAAATCCTGCTATGAAAAAGTGAACAATTGTAATCCTAAAATGTTTAGAATAATTAATATTGACGATGTTTGAATTGTTTCAAAGATTTGGTTGGAGTTGGACTCATTTGAACATTGATTGGTTTGATTTCTCTACATTACAGGTAGGTCAAGAACTTCCAGGCAGCTCTTCCAAAAGTGCTTGAACTACATATATCTGCAATGTCCAGAGCACGCCTTAGGTGAGTTTTTAGTTATTCTTCTTGAGATTATCATAAAAAGATCAGTGCATTATTAATGTATTAAATGGTAGTAAATAGAACATTAAGTCTTACTCATTGCCTGATTTTTAATTAATGATAAATCATGTGAGACATCTATGTGGGAATCAATAAACTCCTGGGCATACAGCAACTACTATATCAGAACTGGTAATTATCTTAATGTATCACCATAAAACATCATTGATTATATAGAAATATTTACTCAAATTTTTAATTTTTTTTCAATCAAAATACTATCATCAAACGGCACATCAACAGGTCTGATTTCAGTGGTTCTAGTTCGTTCAGACTAAAATCATTCTATTCTTTCCCCAGTTCCTCTTCAAAGAGTGACAAAGCGAAGCTGTGCTCCGACGCTAAAAAGGAACTAATTCTTCCTCTCCTTTCAGTCGAGTGATTTGAAATTCCTCTACAACATCGAATTCCCCGGCATCGGTATAGTTCAAAGACATCCCTCCACTGATCATGCTTTTTCACTTCCAATATATTTTGCCAATGATTCAGAAAGTTCACAGCAAAGTTCAAGTAATAAGGCCTCTATTTAGTTTTTTGATGCATTGCAGCTCATGTTCCTCTGCTTTAAGTCAGACAATGAGATGGATCTTTTTTCATCTCCAATGTACTGCTTTTGGGCTTTCCTTCATTGTGATGTTGCTGGTGTGAAAATGTAACAACGCTTATCTCCGTCACTCATCATTTGAATTGGAGCATCGGAATTTCAGGGGTATATTGATAACTCTTAAGTAGACAAAAGATACAAATATATTGAATTAAATAGTATTGTGAATGTCATTTCCTTGATATATACTACCATCAAGTTTCATGGTCATGAAAACATTGTGTTTTTATCTTCCAGGGGATAAGGGCTCTTTTGTGAGGCATTATTGCTGCTTGAGTTCCCTGTGTTGAGGTCAGAGAAGGATAGAGCTTTTATTCTATCTTTATTCTTTTGCTTTAGCTTTCCTTCATTGTGAGTTGATGCTTTCAAAATGGATACTAATGCTTCCTTCACTAATTTTAGGTTGATTTGAACGGTAGGCTAAAATGTTAAGAATAATTAAAATTGCTGATGTTTGAATTGTTTCAAGGATTTGGTTGGACTCATTTGAACATTGATTGGTTTGATATCTCTACGTTACAGGTAGGTCAGGAACTTCCAGGCAGCTCTTCCAAAAGTGCTTGAACTACCTATATCTGTCATGTCCAAAGCACACCGAAGGTGAGTTTTTAGTTTATGCATTTTACCTTGTTCCCAAAGAAAGTGTCCGGCTGCTGCATTGTCCTAACATTTCCAGTGAACAAAATTCTCTGTTTTACTTGCTGAAATTAGGCCAGGGTCAGTTGATTTCCTTTGCGTTTACACAATTACTTGCCATTCCTCTTGAGATTATCATAAACAGATCAGTGCATTACGAATGTAAACAGAACACTAAGTCTTACTCATAGCCTGATTTTTAATTAATGAAAATGTAACAACGCTTATATCTCCATCACTCATCATTTGAATTTGAGCGTTGGAAAAGGATCCTTATTCTCCATTTTTTAGCTGGTTGTTGCATTATATTGCATTTATTCATTACTTTAGTTTGAATTATAAGCCTATATATGGATGTATATGTAACAAATTTCAGTGGTATATTTATAACTCTTAAGTAGACAAAAGGTACAAAAATATTGAATTTAAAAGTGTTGTGAAGGCAATTTCCTTGATATATACTACCATAAAGTTTCATGATCATGGAAACATTTTCTATTTATCTTTCAACTTCCCTTTCTTTGCTGAACTATAAAAAAATTGTTGTTTAAGATATCATTTCCCTGCAGTTTCTGTTTTACTTTGAATATGTTGTGCTCTATATTTACAGGATATTCCGAGTGCTGAAAAGGATTTGGCCAAACTTCGACGAAATCTCTGGGATAAGGGCTCTTTTGTGAGGCATCATTGCGGCTCCAGTTCGTTGTGTTGAGGTCAGAGAAGGGGAGAGCCTTTTGCTTCTATCTTCTCTTTTGCTTTGGTTTTCCTTCATTGTGAGTTGATGCTTTGAAAATGGATACAGAACTTAATGCTTCCTTCACTCATTTGAGGTTGATTTGAACATTGGAGGTTCTTTCCTATCTGTTGTCAGTATTGTGTACTAACATTACAATATAATTAATAGTTAAGAGTGGCATGAAGGTCATTTAGAGTCGACCTTAGTTTACTACCATATAACGCGATGAATTTAAAATCTCCAGAATAACTGAATAAGGCCTATTTTCTAAGTGGTTTGTAAATCATTATGGCTCATGTTCCCTATGCTGAAGTCGGCAAGTATAGGGCGTTTTGTTTCTATCTTGATTGTTCAGCTTTAGTTTTCCTTGGTTGTAAATTGCAGCTTTTAAAGTACATGTTTCAAAACTTACTTTTTTGACTCATTTGAGGTTGAATTGAGAACAGTGGAGGTTATTTTTCATTCAGTTTCTGTGCATTGTATACATTACTTTAAAGTATGAATCATGTGCCTAGGTATGTCTGATTTTGTGTGTGCCTTGCAATATATATGTTTATGTAATGAACTTCTGGTGTATTATGATTGTATTCGGTGAAACTGGTTTCTGAAAGTTGTTATAATAATTCCACTTAATCTTCTATTATGTTGTGACCACACCCAATCTTTTTTGTAATACTATAGTTTTGGTATAATGGACTTCTGGTGTATTATGATGTTGTTGTATTATGATGTTCTGTAATGCTATACATTTTGCTCCCTGGTTGTCCTGTTGTTGTCCTCGTTTCATGTTTACTTGGTTTGCTCATATCTTGTTATCAAAGCCTAAGAGATACAGAAAATATTCACAGGAGAATGCAGATTTTAGCTCAGAAAACAATGGTGTACCTTCATCTGTGTAAAATCCGCACCTGCCACTCACAAATCAAGGATTGAATGGGGAAAGATCAGATGCTCTGGAATCCCATCTTGAAGTTCCTTGATTTGGAATTCATAGTGTGCAAAAATGCCCCAAGATTAACACCAAACTTTACCAAGTAAAGCAGATCTATCATGTCAATGAAGAGTATTGGGAAGGTGACCTTAACACAAATATACAACATCTTCACAAGAAAGAGGTAAGCATTTAGTTAAAAATTACTTTTCTTTGGATCTTCCAATTCCCCCTAACATTTGAAACAGGACACTAGTCCATTCTCATGACCGTATCTTTAATTTTATATTTGTTTTATAATATGCCTTATCTCAGTGCAAGTCAATAACTCTTTAAGAATACAAAAGCTACAATAAAATTGATATTTAATATAGTAACATGAAAGTCATTTAGAGGCCACAATAAAACTTCATGATCATGGAAGCATTTTCTTTTTCTTTGAAAAACTATCACCAATTTATAGTTCAAAATAACATTTCCCTATAGCTTTTGCATTCACTTTAAACCTGCTGTCTTCTATATTTACAGAATATCAAGAGTTCTGGAAAAATTCAGGTCAAACGTCAATCCAGTCTCCAGATTAAGGCCTCTTATCTAAATGGTTTGTGAGATATTGTGGCTCTTGGTCCCTATGTTGAAATGAGAGAGTGGAGGGGCATTTTGTTTGTATCTTTATTGGCCTGTTTTAGCCCTCCTTCATTGTGAATTACTTCTTTGAAAGTGTTACAGAACTTAGTTTCTTCACTCATTTGAGGTTGATTTGAATAGTGGAGGTTGTTTTTCATTCAGTTGCTATGTATTTTACTGATGACTTAATTAAGTGTGAATTTGTGGGTGCCTTAATGGTCTATGTAATTAACTTCTGGTATATTACGATGCTATTTGATGAAATTGTATTTTCAAAAGTAGTCTCAGTTGTTGTTGTCAAAAGCTCTATATTTAGAGAAAGATTCGAATTTTGAAACTGATATAGGCCAAACTTGATTGAAACTTGTGGAGCAAGACCTCTTTTATCTGTAGTCTGTGTTCCCTTTGGTGAAGCCAGAGTGTAGAAGGGCCATTTGTTTCCATCTTGATTGTTCTGCTTGAGCTTTACTTTTTATGTGAATTGCTGCTATAGAATTGTAACAGAAATTAAGGTTATCTTTACTCATTTGAGAATGATTTCAGCTGCAGTGGAGGTTCTCTTTTCAATCTGTTGCTGTGGATTGTATTTATTACTTGCATATGAATTATTATTTGCCTGTGGATTTGTGTATACCTTGGAATATGCATTTGGGCTAATTATAGAGTAATAAAATTTATTATGATGTAATCAAACATATGTAAACAATCATTGACAAATTATCATCCTTATGGCTACTAAAATCATCAAATGTAAACTCCATGTTAATAATGTATATGGACATGTTAATGTAAAGAAAGAAGAAGCAGGAGAAGCAAAATTATGGCCGATTTAAGGATCGTGTGGATCCTGGGCTGGGGGTTTTCTCAAGGTATGATCTGCCCCTCATGGAGGGGCAGAGGGGCTGTGCTAGGAGACTTGAGAGGGGAGATGCTGCGGTTATTGAGGATGTAAATTATGGGTATTGGAGCATCTTCCTTTCTAACGTTTTTTCTTGTTCAGATTTTCTTTTGGCTCTTAGCAGCCGTTTGTGCCAGAAGAATGATTGGCTGCTTGACAACACTGTTGCAAAGATCTGTCATCGTTCTGATATGGGGGTGATTTTATCCTCTCTAGGAAGCACTGGTTTTGAAAATTGGGCTGTGGGTGCTGGATGTTTTCTCCTGCTGTTGTGGTTTGGGCTTCTGGGACAGTAATGGATGTTGGACCATCCGTCCAGGTGATGGTTTGGGCAACTCTCAAAAGGCAAATAAGTTGATTAGCTGGATTAATGGTTTGGCCTGAATGATGTGGGCTTTGGTATTTTGGGAGCCTATAATTTGATTAGCTTGTTGTTATTATTTTTTTTTTTTGTATAGTTTTTAAGCTAAGTGTTTGGTTTTTGTTATGGGCCTTGGTTAGGCCTAGTGTCTCTGGGCCTTTGTTGATGTGAAGTCTTGAATGTTGGGCATGTTCAAGTTGTTCTCTTGGTCTTAGGGGAGCTTCCTGGTGTTTGTAATTTTTTATTCTTTATATTCAAAAAAAAAAAAAAAAAAACACTACAGTATTACCCAATTAATTAAGATAAAGCAATGGACCTATGACTGGTCATCAGGAGCAGGTAATTCTCTGTATAGAAAAAGGGGTAAATTCTTTAGGAAACAGATGAAATTTTCAAAGTAGCTCTGATCACCCAAAATCTTTGTTTAGAACAAACATTAACTGGCCTACATGTAGAATGAATGTCAAAAATAATTAAATTAAAAAAACAATAAATCGTGCTTTGTCAAACTGAAGGTGGGCTACGGAGCTGCACCTAAGCAATCGAATTCCACTCCTTCCGCTCATCGATCTCGTTCCCGTGGACTGGGATCCATCCGGGCCCCAGCAACACTCAACTGAAGGGAACGAAAGAAGGGGAAGGAGAGGGAGGTTTTTCTTGGTAACCAAATAGAAGCTAATCATTTTTGTTGAATTTCTGCACCAGACCCAAGTTTTCTAAAGTTTTTGTTCAACGCCGCAAACTTTCCATTTCTTTGAGGAAGCCATATTATTTACCTCCATTATTCTGTGAATATTTTCTTTGAGGATGTTTAGTTTTTGTAGGTTTCTGATATATATGCTTTGGTAGGCTTTGAATTACTGTGTTTTATCTCTTGCTTGTATGGGTTGATTCTAGAACGTTGTTCCGTGTTGAGATCTGGACATGTTTGAGCTGCTGCTGCCAAAGTAATTTGTCATTGTTGAAACTTGAGAGGAGCTCAAGTGTGACCTGGTGGTCCCGTGGAGGAGAAGCTAGACTATGAAGGTTTGAGGTTCAACCAAAGAGCAAAGATTGAAGTGTTGTCCAAACAGACAGTTTTTACAACTGATACTTATTCTTGTCTTTGTAATTGAACACATAATTATTTCATAGTGGATTAGCTTCTTCTGGACTTGGTCCCATGGATGTAGGCATGATTGGCGAACCATGTTAAAAATGAGTTGTGTACTTTAATCATTAGTTTAGCAACTCATTAAGCACAACATGAACAAGTAATCTTAATTCCGCATAAGTTTTAATCAATTTGATTGGCTTTAAAACTTTCATCTATCAACCTTGCAGAATTAATGTAAATTGACAGAGGCCTTTTGTGGTGGTCACACAATCAACAGCGACATGATTGTTGAAACCTTTTGCATTAGCAGCGACATGATCGATAGAAACCTTTCAAGTTGGTGGCAGTAAGATTGCCTAGGGCTCATCGCACTGGTAGTGGCTTAATCGACTCTAGCAGTCGTGCAATGGTTGTGTGTTTAAAACCAGTAGCGGTGGCTAGCAACTATCGAGATAAGTTATTAGGTTATGTGTTTTAGGGTTTGAGAGATTTATGTTTGGCTTTTTTTAATTTTAATTTTATATTTTTGGTTTGATTATAATGCAAAATTTTAATTGTATTTTTATGTCTATTTTGACTAGCATTGAAGCCATTAAGATACAAATTTCTTTAGCTCATCATCCTTATGGCTACTGAAATAACCAAATGTAAACTGTATGTTAATAACGTAGATGGATAACTGATATACAAACATGTTAATGTAAAGAAAGAAGAAGAAGCAGGAGAAGCAAAATTGAAAACTGAACAACAGAAGAACTAAGCTTTGTTTCAAAAGGCAGTTGGTTGATGGTTAACAGTGTGTTAACAGAAGATGTGTATACTATAAGGTGTCTTGAATTAACTGAATGAGTGGATTTGTTTGGTTCCTTTAGTTATCTTTAATAAAACGATGCGTTTCAACAACATTAAAACATAAGGCTTAAGCTATCAAAGACGGTTTATGCTTAATGGTTTTGGTTGTAAAAGCTTATTAGTTTAAGCTTCTGGGTTTGTAATGCAGGCAGTAAATAATTGTATAAAAGCTTAATTGTACTCATTCTGGTTCTTAATGAGAAATATCTTACTAAAGTTTAGTAATTTTCTCTCAAACTCTCAGTATTTTCTTTGTTTTTCCTGCATTTCTTCGCACTTTCTCGACTCAGTAAAATTACCCTATCAAAATCTACCATGGTATCAGTGCTACAGACTAACGTCATGGCTTATTTCTCAATTTCGTCAAATATGTTTGAGAAGACTCCTAGTAAAACTGCAGAAAAAGGTTCCAATTTCGGTGATCAAATGTTTGCCTTCAATTTTCCTTTATCTTTGCCAACAATTTCTGTGAAGCTGGTTGAGAAAAATTACAATTATTGGCATTCTACGGTATTGCCAGCATCAACTTCATTTGAGCTTAAAGGTTTTGTAACTGGAACTCGAACTTGTCCTTCCTCTTTTATTGTTGTTAAAAATGAAACTTCAGGTTTAATTGTTAAAGCTTATAATCCTGAATATATGTTGTGGAAGAGAATTGATCAGCTTCTTATAAGTTGGTTGTTTTATTCAATTTCTGAATCAATAATGTTCGGAAAAATGGCTAAGTGTAGGGGTACTTTTGATATTTTGAGGACTGTAGAGAATCACTTTGTGACTAAATCTAAGGCTAGAACAATGCACCTAAGAAATCTGTTACGGAATACTAGAAAAGAAGCACTAAGCATCAATGAGTTTATTCTAAAAATGAAGGAATATGTTGACTCTTTATCTACTAGTGGAGTTGTTTTAACCAATGAAAAACTCATAGCTTATATTTTAGATGGTCTAGGACTTGAATATGATGTAGTCTCTTTGTGCATTTATCTTCTAGAGGGGATAAAGTCACACTTCAAGACGCTCAATTTCTATTGCATAAGCATGAGATAATGTTGGAAAGATACAATTCAGTGCAAACATGACATGAAAACACACTTTGTTAGCACATAAGCAAACCTATTTTAATCACCGTCTTTATACATCATCTTTATCAAACACATAGCAACATACTCCTCATCTAGTCAATTTGCTCCACAACACTATGCTTCACCCTATTTTCATACTTCACCTAATGTACTAACCTATCACTCTCTTTTGCTTGCGATTAGTATATGGACAACTATCAACTAATATCCAAACATTTTAATGTAAAGAAAGAAGAAGAAGTAGGAGAAGCAAAATTGAAAACTGAAGAACATAAGAACTGAGCTTGTGTTTTAAAAGGAAGTTAGTTGGTGGTTAACAGTGTGTTAACAAAAGATCTATGTTTGGTGGGACTAGCGTGTGCCTTCTTGGACATGGTTAAGATTGTATTTATTACTTGCAAACTCTTCTGTTAATAATGTATATAGACAACTGATATGCAAACATGTTAATGTAAAGAATGAAGAAGCAGGAGAAGCAAAATTGAGAACTGAAGAATTAAGCTTGTGTTTTAAAAGGCACTTAGTGTAAAACTTACGTTACTCATGTGACGTAGATAACGTTTTGATTTTCATCAGTTTTAAAGCTTGATGGTCCACATTTGTTGCTTCAGTTTTCAAACGTTTTGTTTAACCATTGATTGGGATTTATGGCAGCCATTAAGCAATGCCATTAAGAGCTTGATGGAAGCTTGGCTATATATAATATTTTGGTCCCTAAGCTCAAGAACTCAATTATACTGAAAAATACACCATCAATATTAGAGTGTCTTGAGAGCTTAGAAGAGCCAAAATACAGCTTCGTGAGTTTGTTTCAATGGTTGGAGGTAATTCTTGATTCTTGGTTTATAGTTTAAGAACATTGTATTCTTTGT